AGCAGTCACCGGCCACATCGACCTGATCAGTGTTTGATTGTTGTGTCTTGTTGCTTTTCTTCTTTTGTCTCTCCTTTATCCACTCACCCCAACCGGTCGAGGCAGAAGGCCGCCCACCAAGAGCCGGGGTCTGTCGGAGGTTTCTTCCGTTAAAGGGAGTTTTTCCTCCCCACTGTCGCCAAGTGCTTGCTCAAGGGGGATTTGTTGGGTTTTCCCTATGTAATAATATTGATAACAGTAAGGTCTAGACCTTACTTTGTAAAGTGTCCTGAGATGACTTTTGTTGTGATTTGGCACTATACAAATACAATTTGATTTGATTTGTGAGGTCAACCTCTAAGGACAGTGTTCAGGAAGAAAACATCACTTACTAAACTAGATTAAACTTTAATAAGAAGCCTGATTAATATTAAGAACCTGACATTTGGCAATTTAAGGGATGTGTTATATTGTTGAAAATTTAAAATGATTGTAGTTTCTCTGACTATATTCCGTATTTGCTCTTTAACTATTTCCTCTGAACAAGTCCTAATTTAGGAACCTAGTCAGCTTTGTTGGGTACTTCAGTTAGCTATGCAAAAGTTACACTTTTGTTACAACTATCTTTAGGCAAGCATGAGGTTATATGTTGCAACCCTTTTTAATTCTTTGACAGCTTAATCTGCATGCGCTGCAACTGACCACAGTATCAACTCCCCCGAAGATAGTATAATTATGTACATTTTATAAATATATGTTCGAAGATTCTTCACCCCCCGGCATAGCTCTGTTAAAAATGCTTGTGCTATTTTTGTGCCACTTTATTTTGATGCACTAAAGCGTACTGCACCATTTGAGGTCCATCTTTAATTTCTTTTTCTGTTACATTTCTGACAATTGCCACAGAAAAAAACCTATGAGAATGTTAAAACATAGTACACCCTTGCTACTGCTATAAATCATTGGACAGACACAAACATATGTTTTTATAATAGCATCACTGCTGGAAACCAAAACCCAGAGAAGGTTTAATCCGACAGTCAGAAGCAAATTTCAGCCCATGAACGTAAATAAAATGCTTAGAGAGCTCACTGTATATGTGGTACTACGGGAACCTGATTTTATACTCACCAGGCGAAATATTAATTACAAAACATCACATGCATGATTTGATCTAATGTAAGTTCTATATCAAACAACTTGTTTGACGAAGTATCAGAGAGACCGACAGTAAACACAGCAACCATTGTGTCAGACAACAGTGAATGGAGACGACAGGAGGAAGGCCTGCCACCTGGGCAGTGCAGATTACAGCCAGTGAACCTGTGGAGATTCACCAGGAACTTTCTGTTGGACTTTCATGGGAAAGATGGTAAATCCCTGCAGTATGTATTACAACAACTTAAAGACAACTGACTTTAAACACAGAATTTTATGTCCATGTATACATACACATTATGGGCTTAATATTGTAATGGAAAACTTATTACAGCACCGCAGAATGAAATCTAATATCCACTTCAGGATAATAAAGTTCATTTTGCTTTATTATTGATATTTTGCTTTGGAATAACTTTTTAAATGGTCACTTGGCCCGATGATGACTGATATCTGGTCAATGGAACACCCATTCAGCGCCTTCTTTTACAACTTACTTCACAAAAACCTTAACTGAACACATTTGCTGGAATTAATGAAATGGTTCACTGTTTTAATTGTTCATATACAACTTTTGGAGTTATTCTAAACCCTGAGACAAAATCAGGACAGCCCCTTCTTCAAACAAAGCTGAGTTTTGGCATAAAGTAACTGGCCTGACATATGTGTGGTTGTGCTGAGGTTTAGAGACAAAGCACCATTTTAAAGTGTTCAGCTCAGTTCTCCTCAGTCAGCTGTCCCACATAATATTCAGCTAGCAGCACAGTGTTTGCACAGTGGGCGTCCATCTTTACAGCATGGCATCATTCCAGCCAATGTTGCTGAAGACTAGCACTAGTAGTGGTTTGTCTGGTGCTAGCATTGGTTTCATTTCATCTGCTAACAACAACAGTAGTAGTCATGTTTTTGTGCCTGCTTCTCAGGGATGAGAGAAGGAAGTTATGATCGCATCATGTACATAATCTTTAAACATGTGACAAAGTTAACACAAGGACAATATACTACCACAATATGCAGACAATCTGCATTTCACTGATCATTACCTGTACATCTAAAGACATGGGAATCACACTGATCAAGAGTGGAGCATTTCTTGAAAATGAAATGACATCCTCAACTGCAGCTATGTTAGTGTTTGCATGCCCAGGCTACAGGTATGAGAAGCTTACAGTTCACCTACACTGTCTTGTTTTCTTTTAAAATAAACGAAATGAGAGTAGCATAGACAGTCAGGACAACAGGCAAGATCGAAAACCCACACAGTAAGACAGAGGTATAACAGGGGGAGGAGCAGGATGACAGCTGGGCATGGGGGCTGTCACAAGTCCACAGCAAAGCAAAAGGTGGTGAGAGAGACAGAGGAAGAGCAGAAAAGAGAGGAAGGGACAGATGGACATGGAGGAGAGGTGTGGCTGGTGTATGGCACATACTTGGCCTCGTCGACTACTTCCACCTCTGCCTGAGCTGTAATCGGAGCATTGGAATGAGCTTGCTGTGGATCATCTGCATTCAGCTCCCCATTGGTTGAACTGACCACCTGTGGCACAGATGGGCATTAATTCAGATCGACCCAGTGACGTTTGCATCAGTCCATACAACAGTTTCATGTTAGCATTTTGGCAACAATCAATGTGATAGATTTGGTTAAGACTGGATATACAAAAAAACAAAAAGTAAAAACTTGTCACATTACCACTTTACTTTTGTCTCACAGCAGCAAAGAACACACCAACAGCGCAAATATTAATGGCTTGCACATAGTAAATTATTTTAAAGGATATCACATTTAAGGGGGAACTGCCTATTTTCAATGTTTTAATAATCATAATCATGGTCATGGATGTTTCTCTTACTCTCTTCATGCTTCCTGTACACAAACACTCGCTCAGTCTCCTGCAAGAATTCGCTAGGAGACACAAAATGACACACTTTGCCTTTGAGTGTACAGAAAGCCTGAAGGGATGCAAGATAATTGTTATTTAGGTGTACTAAGAATTTTTAACTATTAAAACCTGGTTTAAAATTGGTCAAATTCCCCTTAAGTACTTCTTTTTGCTAGCATTTTGGATCAGTAGGGATCCATGTTTGTTACCAACATGCAGTGCTATCTGTCAGGGTGTCAACATATCAGTCAATAATGCTCACCTCCTTCACACAGGGATAACCTAAAGTTAGTCCAAAACAACAAAAAGAGGAGGGTGGTGGTCGAAAAACCTAGAAAATACATCTTACAGTATCAGTAAAATGGAGACTTGTACTCTAGCCTAGCTTTCTCTCAAATACAGTACTTTCAGTTCCCCCATTTGGTGAAATGGCCTGAGCCTGGGGTATTTCAGGCACATGTAAATAAATTTTACATGTTGCAGCTTCACTTTGCAAGGTTTAAAAAAAAAAAAAAAAACTCATGGTCTTTAAAAATGAAAAAAAAAACTCAAGGCTGTTCCAAAATTAGAATGACAAACCTTTAAACACCATGTGTAAAACAAAAAAAGAAGTGGGCAACTGACAAATGTCACATTATGCAAAAATAGCAAATGACAAATGAACCAGTAGCCTGTACAAGAAATGGCATTGTAATATTGTAAAATGTGGATTGTATGCATACACATTTGCAATTATCAGGCTAAGAACCCCCTTCACTGTCATTCATGTTGAAATAGTGTGAAGTTTTTTTATATAGAAAAAACACTTGTTAAAATGTCTTGTTTACCGAGTGGGCTGAGGTAATTGAGATAGCATGGGGAGCAAGATGGGAGTCACATGACAGCTGGAAGTAGCTGAGCCATTATGGCTCCACCTGTGGTCACTACTGCACAGAAAATGGTTCCAATTTAAGTTACAAAAACAAGGCGGCCTGTTTTAACCTTGTTATATCACCACTGCCCGAGGGCTCAATTCTATCATTATAAGAATTTATATAAAAGCAGACACATTTTGGTATGAATTCTGGTAATGGCAAACATCCAGAATACATGGTTCATATACAATGATTTTCACAAGATTGAAATACCAGCTGTATGCCCGTCAACTTTCACATCTTCAAACCATTTCAACATGAACGCCAATAAATAATTATTTAGTGCTAAAGAATGGCGATCCTGAAGCATACACTGTACACACCTATGAAAACAACTTATGCTTAAAACAGAGAGAATCTTTGGTAATGGTAAAAAGTTTAAACTGCACCAGGATGTTGCCTGAAGCATAGTGACCCTTTATGAATTCAGAGCATGCACTTAGCCAGTTAAGCCAGGTCACCCTGCCATGCAACAAGCTTCTTGATCTTGCAGAGAATGTCCAAGCACTTTAAGACCTGAGATCAAAAATTAACAACCAGGACTGTTATTTATAAAGCAAAATCATATTTTCACCATCTGGAGTGGGGGGCACCAGATGACATGCATATGGTGGTGAAGAAAAATAACATTTCCCAACCTGGTGTAAAGGGGTGGGGGAGGTAATATGGTTGCAGATCTGTCTCACACACAAGGTTAAAATATAAAACAAGTGTGATGCCCTGGTAAAATGTCTGGTACCTAGTGTCATACACTGATTAGTAAACCAGAAACAGTAGTGTTAATTAGAAATGCAATTATTTTCTGATCATAAATAGTAATGTCAGGCACTTTTCTAGAGATAAAAAAAAAGTTCATAGAGTTGATCTCTTGTGTATGTACGGAAGAGTATTAGGGCCACTGCATAAGCTTTTTTTTTAAATTCTGACTTTATTCTCAGAATTCTGAATTTATTCTCAGAATTCTGACTTTATTCTCAGAATTCTGAGTTTAAAGTCAGAATTCTGAGAATAAAGTCAGAATTTAAAAAAAAAGCTTATGCAGTGGCCCTAATACTCTTCCGTACATACACAAGAGATCAACTCTATGAACTTTTTTTTTATCTCTAGAAAAGTGCCTGACATTACTATTTATGATTTACAGACATATAAAAGCCTTTGTGCTTTTTTTCCCTGTTCACAATCTGCACCTGCAGGTTTTATTTAGTTTGGAGTGCATCCTATGAGACAGAGCTGACTCCATAAGGATTGGGTTAATGAAGGATGTTGGTTGGTCAGGTGAGGGGTGTATACCTGCACTGAGCCCCCATGCCTATCCGCTGCCAGGTGGGAGGTCAGATAGGAGGAGTTTGCTTGGCGTGTGGGCTGCACCTCCCATGCTCCTCGTCGATCTGAGACTGCTGTCTGCTTAGGAGTCGGGGGGGTGGAGAGTGGAGGCGATAGGAAAGGAAGTGGGATTGGAGGTGTGATGGGAGAGGGAGGAGGGGTGGTGGAATAATTGTGTTAGGAGAGTTGGGTATTTAGGTGTGTGTGGCCAGGTATCATGCAAAGCGGCATGAGAAATGGAGAAGGAAACAAAATGTAACAAAAATAAGAGTGAATCAAAATCAAAGCAAGGTTTCAGCCAGAAACTAATGAGCCTGAAGCCAAAGGGAGGTAAGCACTTACTCCTCAAACTTTGGCCTCAATCTCATTAAACTCAGATAAGACATTAAGCCTAAATTACAGGGTTTTTAATCTTTTCAAAATTTTGGAATGAAACTGCTTGTGTGACAACTCGTCTTTGTAACAGCAATTAACATTGTTTTTTGTGTAAACGTTTCTTTGATTACAAATGTTTAGTACATTCGTCAGTAAACTCACTAACAGAATGTCACTGGCAGAAATGTTCTTATTCACCTTTTATGACAAGAATTTGCACCATAGCTCTAAAACCTCACTTTAAGGTAACCGCTCAAGGATGCAAAGGGTGGTGTGAAGTCCCTTGGAAATGCTGGCCAAACATACCACTGAGCACATTTCCAAGTGGTTTCACCCGTTTTCATCTGATAAAAGGATGAAAAAAATTCCACCTTCACCATCTAATTTTCAATGTAAATTATTATAAAGGGTTATCTCAGTCACATTCAGTAGCCAGTACCTCAGTAGCCACTATAATGAAAGTGCACACTAATTTGTCCCAGACAAGAATGTAGAAATAACTGGGATAACTGGACTGAAACCCTATTCATCTGTGCTCTGCTTACATCAGAATGCAACTGACATATGTTTGCTATTTTAAGTGACCTTCTTTAAAAACGCTCAACACACACAACAATGGTTGTCATACAAACTTTGAAAATCTCCATGTGCATTGGTTTTATTTGGTGAGATTTTCATAACCAAAATTTTCAGTTGTTCAAGATGTTGTTATAGTTTTCCCTCAATAAGAGGTCAGGTTAAAGGTCAGGCTGACACAGGTAAACTCCTTGGTGACATCTTTGCAATCAGAGGAATAGTGCTTGTGTGTACATGTCGGGCTGTAATGCGGGGATTCCTTTGCTTTCACTGGAACAAATGTCCAGCAAAACACACACACTTGCCCACTACTAAAAACAAAACCTGGCGTACCTGATTTCTAATTGGTGGGTGCTGTGTGGGCCGGTCTCTGTGAGGATGGCTCTCTCTAGTGACACCAGATGCTCCAGAGTCTATATGGACAGACCCCACTGGTGTGGGCTGGGGGGAATAATAGATGGTTAAATGCGACACGGTCATGCAGCTCGTTAAAAACTGCTGACCCACTTCAAATGCGGCGCTACTTACTATCTGCCTGCCAACCCAGTCGTACGTGTAGTCAAATGTGTATCCTTTTCGCTCAAACAGTTCAGTGAAGAGAGTCCTCAAATATTCATAGTCAGGCTTTTCAAAGAAGTCTAACCGTCGCACATATCGCAGGTAGGTGGCCATCTCCTCTAAATTTAAAAAAGAGTCAACTTTATTATGACTTATATTCTAATCATGCAGTGAGATGATAGCGCAACACATTTGACCTGGAAAACCTAAAAAAAAAAACTGGTCAAATCACTGCCAAATAATTATTAATAAATCAATAATTAATTATGAATTAATTAATTTCAAGCTTTTCATCCTGTTCCGTAAGTAAAATACAGAGTACCTGGGAAGTTCTCACAGAGGACCTCAATGGGAGTATTTCGCTTAGTGTCTCCAATTTTTTGGTATCTTTCTTTCAACGTGTCAGCCTGCAGGTGAACAAAATATACATATATATGTGTGTGTGTGTGAACCAACTGATGCCTTATGACCTTTAATCAAATATTTGAAAACAAATTCTCAGTACATTCTTATTACTGTAATACAGACTGGATAAATGAAAATCTGAACTCCTCCCTGTGTAGTCAACTGACACAAAAGGTGACAACTGGTTCATTTGCACCTGACAGTAGCTTATTATTTCTCTGTAGCTGTATGTTATTAATATTCATTGATGACTAAGGTGTAGTGTACCCAGAGCGAGGAAAAAGTCTTTATATTAAAACTCTCATTTATAATAATGCTGGACAAAGCTGATTTTTAACATACACTGACATTTTTCGTATTAACTCCAGATAAACCAATTATACTGATCTGGTATTCAAATGATGATTTAAAGGTTGCTGACCATCATGAAATCATGTCGGTTTTCCACAAAAGATTAAACTGGTTATGCCATGGAACACTTCCATGTACTTAATGTACCTTTAGTCCTTGCCAAGGTAAACTCCCACGAAGGAAATACATAAACATGTGGCCTAAGGCCTCCAGGTCATCTCGCCGGCTTTGCTCTATATCAACAGATATGATCACATTTTACTGAGACGCTTGAAGAATTAAGTGTCAAACACACCGTACATGATAAACACTTCAGAACCAAAACAAAAACAAAGCTATGAAAAGAATCTTACCTTTGCCTAAATGTGTATTAATGGACATATATCGGGCAGTGCCAGTCAAGCTCTTATGCTCCCGGTATGGAATGTGTTTTTTGGTCTCGGGGTCGATGTATTCTTTGGCCAGGCCAAAGTCAATGATGTGGATAATGTGCTCCTTTTTATTCCCTTGCCTTCCGATGAGAAAGTTTTCAGGCTTTACATCCCTATAGATGAGATTTTTAGAGTGCACATACTCCATTCGAGAAATCTGTGGAGAAAGAATACTGCACAGTCAGCAAGAAGAAACACGAACAAATCAAATATAATCACAAACCATGACACACGGTAACCAAGATGTCAACAATTCTCAAAGCTGACATTTTGGCCGCACAACTCTTTATAAAGAGAATTTAAGTTACCATTGATCTCAGCAATATTACACATTAAAGGGGCACTCCACTGATTTTACAACTCTTGGTTAGATATATGTAAACTGTTTAAACAGTTATATAAAGACAATATTTTCAGTGGCTCTGGAGAGAGCACGGTCAAATGAGGAAAAAAAAAACCTGAGATACTTTAGAGTTATTTTAACAGATACCAGAAACCATGTATTCAGGGCATTCAGTAATATTATAGAAACTGTAGGATCTAATGTTTCACCTACAGTATATTACCAGCTCAAGTCAAGATATCTTTGCCTCTGCAACATTAGAATTTTTTTTTTCTCTTTCACATGTACCCCAACTTCAAGGAAACAATGATTAAATGCTGAAATATCCCTTTAAAAGACACAATGACAGGCTTAAAGACATAAATCATGTACCAACAAGGCATGACATGAAAGCACATTATTTCTTTAAGAAAAAACAAAAACAATCCATAATTAAGACTAGGAAGATCTTTTACTTGAGTGTGATCTTGAGGAACCCTGATAACCTAAAACACCATTTCCCAAATTATACAAAAAAGCTCACAGCACTTATTAGCTGTGTCCCAATTCAGGGGACATATCCTTCAAAGACCGACTGCATCACAGCGTCGCAACAAGGCGGTCTCATTTCGAAGGCTCCTTCAAGTGTGACCGAGAAAGGCATCCTTCTTTCCCCGGACAACAAAGGCTTCAACTGGTGGATCCTTCGAGGCCCACCCCATTCTAAGATTCTTTGCATGCCAGCAGAGCGCAGAGCAGCTGTCAAGGTTGCTAGGCAACAGGAGCGGTGCTTTTTAACACAATGGCAGGGGCAGAACAGTTGGTAACATAAAAAGGAAATCCTCTGTAGACCAGACGGTCACATTAAGGTTTAGCCCATGGTTTGACCTTCACAGCTTGCAACAGCTACAAAAGCCACACCTTCTTAGACTGCATCCTTCGAAGGAGGCAGGCTCTGAATTGAGACTATTGTGTGCCAAAAAATTAAAGAAGAGTTGCGAAATACAGAAAAGAGACTGGCGGAGATGCAAGCATATACAAGCATGGTTGTACAACTTGAACAGCTGTACTGTGTAGGTTTCCATACAAATTTTAACAAGAGCACATCAAATTTTGTGCCGACAAAATTAAATTGACATGTTTGAGAGGTTCATATACACACAAACACTGTAAAACTGCGGCAGCTGTTTGGAACATACTGTATGTAAACTCTCAATGTTTGGATGGATTCAACCTACAAAAGTAAAAACAAGTATTATTTGAGACAGGCATATTTAGAAGCTCTCATTTGCCATGTTAATTAGCCACTTCTGATAGTACACAACACTTCCCCATCTTGGGTCTGAAATAGGGGTAGGAACATTTACAAATTTTCATAAATGATTACACATGTATACTTTCTTCCAATATGGTAGCCCACTACCCAGGCAACACTGACTACTCTATATGAATCTTAAGAATAGTCCTTTTTTTTTTATTTAATACTTTCAATGATGCCTTGCTAAAGAAGAAGAAAAAAAGACTATTTGAGTCTGGGGGAGTTTGGTCCCAGAAGTGGAATGTTAAGATAACAAGAAAGGCGTTATAACAAGATACTAATCAAGCTTTAGGCGAGTTGAACATTGTATGTTATGACCAGCAATGTCCCTAGTCTGAAAGTTCATTGTCTGTCAAGAAGTTTGACCAAAAAAGGTCTTGCCTCTAGGTCTACTTACGAGCTTTTTTTTTTTAAAAGAGCTTTTAATTGCATCTCCCAATTTGCATAGTTGTCAGGTGAGTGTCTTCTCTGAGATGTGCTTGAAAACTGCAGCAAAAAAACAAAACAGAACAAAATAAAAAACACCTAGAAAGTGGACTGTGATTTCTTTGGGGGTCACACTTGGTCACTGTTTCACATTTAAACCCCTTCCCTGAGTCAGTGGCAGAACCTCTTCAAATCCATTAAAGTGCTGAGTTCCATTAAAAGCACCGTTGCATCATGACAGCAAAGCAAATTAGTTGATCAGAACGAATCAAACACAGACTGAGAACAATATTGGTCAAAAACAAATGCTCATGCCAAGAGCGTAGAAGATACCATGACTATGTTGTTGCTCTTATGTAATTGATTCTGAGGAGATGTAAACTACAGTGCCTTGCAAAAGTATTCATACCCCTTGAATTTTTCCACATTACAACCCCAAACTTAAATGTATTTCATTGGGATTTTATGTGACAGACCAACACAAAATATCGCATAATTGAAAAGTGGAAGGAAAATGATACGTGGTGATCAAGATTTTTTACAAATAAAAATCTGAAAAGTGTGGCGTATATATTCAGCTGCTTTTACTCTCATATCCCTAAATAAAATCCAGTGCAGCCAACTGCCTTCAGAAGTCACCTAATCAGTAAATAGAGTCCAGCTGTTTGTAATTCAATCTCAGTATAAATACAGCTGTTCTGTGAAGGCCTCAGAGGTTTGTTAGAGAACATTAGTGAACAAACAGCATCATGAAGTCTGAGGAACACACCAGACAGATCAAGGATAAAGTTGTGGAGAAGTTTAAAGCAGGGTTAGGTTATAAAAACATATCCCAAGTTTTGAACATCTTACAGAGCACTGTTCAATCCATCATCCGAAAATGGAAAGCGTATGGCACAACTGCAAACCTACCAAGACATGGCCGTCCACCTTAACTGACAGGCCGGAAAAGGAAAGCATTAATCAGAGAAGCAACCAAGAGGCCCATGGTAACTCTGGAGAAGCTGCAGAGATCCACAGCTCAGGTGGGACAATCTGTCCACAGGACAACTATTACTCATGTACTCCAAAAATCTGGCTTTTATGGAAGAGTGACAAGAAGAAAGCCATTGTTGAAAGAAAGCAATAAGAAGTCCGTTTGCAGTTTGCCACAAACCATGTAGGGGACACAGCAAACAAGTCGAAGAAGGTGCTCTGGTCAGATGAGACCAAAATTGAACTTTTTGGTCTACATGCAAAACGCTATGTGTGGCGGAAACCTAACACTGCACATCAACCTGAACACACCATCCCCACCATGAAACATGGTGGCAGCATCATGTAGTGGGGATGCTTTTCTTCAGCAGGGACAGGGAAGTTGGTCAGAGTTGAGGAAAAGATGGATGGAGCTAAATACTGGGCAATCCTGGAAGAAAACCTGTTAGAGGCTGCAAAAGACTTGGGACTGGGGCTGAGGTTCACCTTCCAGCAGGACAACGACCCTAAACATACAGCTAAAACTACAACGGAATGGTTTAGATCAAAGCATATTCATGTGTTAGAATGGCCCAATCAAAGTCCAGACCTAAATCCTATTGAAAGTCTGTGGCAAAACTTGAAAATTGTTGTTCACAGATGCTCTCCATCCAATCTGACTGAACTGGGACTACTTTGCAAAGAAGAATGGGCAAAATTTGCAGTCTCTGGATGTGCAAAACTGGTAGAGACATACCCCAAAAGACTTGCAGCTGCAATTGCAGTGAAAGGTGCTTCGACAAAGTATTGACTCAAAGGGGCTGAATATATACAGTCTTATGCAAAAGTTTAGGCACCCCTTGATAAATAACAGATTTTGGTGATTTTTTATTTGAACAGATGTTAACACAGTTTCTCTTGGAAATGGAAAAAATGCACAATATTTTCTGCAAACAGTGATGCATAGTTACTTCTTATGCCATAAATTGAACAAAAATAAAAAATAAAAACATGATTATGGCATGGTGCAAAAGTTTGGGCACCCTAAGAGTTCCAGAGTCTCAAAGTCTCTCACAAGGTATCAGACCTTAATCAGCTCGTTAGATCTGATGCACAGCAACAGCTGTCATTGGTAAATGCCAATTTCAAAGCTGTACAAATACTTTGACTCTTCAAACCTTGTGCACACACTTGTGGACACCCAGCAACCATGGGTTCCTCTAAGCAGCTGTGTAAGACCCTGAAAATGAAAGTTATTGACGCCCACAATGCAGGAGAAGGCTACAAGAAGATAGCAAAGCGTTGTCAGCTTGCAGTTTCCACAGTAAGAAATGTAATTAAGAGATGGCAGATCAGGGGAACTGTGGAGGTCAAGATGAGATCTGGAAGACCAAGAAAACTCTCGGACAGAACTGCTCGTATGCTGGTCAGAAAGACAAATCAAAACCCCCATTTGACTGCAAAAAACCTGCAGGAAGATTTAGCAGACTCAGGAGTGGTGGTGCACCGTTCCACTGTGCAGCGATGCTTGCACAGACAAGGCCTTCATGGAAGAGTCAGCAGAAGAAAACCTTATCTGCGTCCCCATCATAAAATCCAACGTCTGAAGTATGCAACAGGACATCTACAGAAGCCCGATGCGTTTTGGAAACAAGTGCTGTGGACTGATGAAGTTAAAATAGAACTCTTTGGACACAATCAGCAAAGGCATGTTTGGAGAAAAAAAGGAGCAGCATTTCATGAAAAGAACACCTTGCCAACTATTAAGCATGGGGGTGGATCTATCATGCTCTGGGGTTGTGTTGCAGCCAGTGGCACAGGAAACATTGCACGGGTGGAGGGAAGAATGGATTCCACTAAATACCAGCAAATTCTGGAAGCAAACATCACACCATCTGTAAAAAAGCTGAAGCTGAAAAGAGGATGGCTTCTACAACAGGACAATGATCCTAAACATACCTCGAAATCCACTATGGAATACCTCAAGAGACGCAGGCTGAAGGTTTTGGAATGGCCATCACAGTCCCCTGATTTAAACATCATTGAAAATTTGTGGGTAGATCTTAAAAGAGCTGTGCATGCAAGACGACCAAAGAATATTACAGAACTAGAAGCCTTTTGCAAGGAAGAATGGGAGAAGATCCCAAGTACAAGAATTGAAAGACTTTTAGCTGGCTATGAAAAGCGTTTGCAAGCTGTGATATCTGCCAGAGGAGGTGTTACTAAGTACTGATTGTGTAGGGTGCCCAAACTTTTGCACCATGCCATAATAATGTTTTTATTTTTTATTTTTGTTCAATTTATGGCATAAGAAGTAACTATGCATCACTGTTTGCAGAAAATATTGTGCATTTTTTCCATTTCCAAGAGAAACTGTGTTAACATCTGTTCAAATAAAAAATCACCAAAATCTGTTATGTATCAAGGGGTGCCTAAACTTTTGCATAAGACTGTAAACACCAAACGGCAGACAGGCAGTGGACCTTATTCACTAACATGCGCATAGAAATGTTCTTACCTTGTGCACAAAATAAGTGCAGGAGACATTACCATCATATTCATGACACCAGCCAATTTTGTTCTTTCTATTGTGTGTATGTTAGTGTAAATCAGAATCATTCTAAAATGACAGGCGCATTCCAGTGGTTTTCAAGTAGCCTGCTGCCATGCCCCCATTTCTCTATATACTTATAAACTAGAACAGTTTTTTAAATTTAATTTATTTCAATTAAAACTGTGATTAATCAGAATGACAGGGCATTAATTTCATGTTTATTTAATATGCTACATTTGGTCAATGCATTAGTAAATTAATCATTATAGCCTTAAATTATATTAATCAATTATATTAGCTATTAAAACCTTTTTAATTAATATAGTTTCAGTTAAAATGTGTTTGCATTTTTTAGCCAGCCAGGCCTTCATCATTTGTTCATACACATGGGGTGAGGCAGTATTAAATTTGTTCACAGAGTATGAACAAATTAAGGTAAGAAAATATTGATACAGAATATTGAATAAAATTGTGCATAAATTGTTTGTATACACGGTTTCAGCACAGAATTGTGTGTACACACTGTTTGTGGACGAGGCTTGGTGCTAGCAGCTAACTGGTGAACATACTCAAGCAGTTCGTAGATTAAGAATCAGATATTTTGGAGTTGGTGGAGACCAAAAACAGAGCTAAAAGAAAGTACTGTATATATTGGACCTGATGACCAGACACGTGACTCCAAATGGCAATAATGCTCTGTAACTGCTGGGTGTGTAAATAAGCAACTGCTTGCTGACAGGTTCACAAATTCAACTTAAAAGGTGAAGATATGTCAATATTGAGTCCCCAGGCAGTGAAAAAGGCCATTATTGCAGATTTAAAGCTACAGTAATGAGGGCAGCAAAATGAGAAAGGTGATGCTCATATTTTTGAATGAGAATTAGTTTGTCATTGGACTCTGAAGTTCTCCTTACAGCTGGGCTTTTAGCATCCTTCACTGTTTTCATTCTATAGTCCACAACTTTGCTGTTTTGGTTCACTCTGAGCACTGTCATCAGTGATGTTATTGGACACGACACCCTATTTTTAATAAAGAATGGAAAATGGTTTGGAAATCACAGGCACAATTGTTTGTGTTGCAGCAGTCACAGGTAAATTGCCTTTTGTTGCAATAATCACAATGATCACATTGACATGTTGAGGCCCATATGTATTTAGTCTGTTTAGCCAGTTTTTTTTTTATTACATATCAAATAAGACAAAATAAGATGGTACAGTTTTGAATCATTTAAGGTTGTAGTGATATGGTACAGGGGTGTACTGAGTTTTGTTATATACTATATGTTCAGCTGCCTCCAGCTAATGTTCACTGTGCAGCTGTAACTATGAAGAGATTGAAAAGTGCACTTATGCTCTCTAGGCTGCAGGACTTACAGTACAGCACAGCAAATGAACTTAGCTGTAAACCTTTACTGCCATGCCTTCTCTGTGCTTACTTTTGTAGTAAATGTAATTTCAAGTCTTACTACCAATTTCATTATTTCACTCGTAATGAGAGTTGTTTAAATGAAGGACATTTCCATCAGCAGTCCCCAAGCTGAATAAGATGACCAGTAAAAGTTGAACAACTGCAGTGATCCATGCTATGAATTCAAGATGGTTAACACTAATTTAGGATACCTGTGTTTCGGCCTGTTCTTTTGCATTTGAATAAATAATCTCTTTGTGCTTCCTTGTCTTCTTTCCTTTTCTCATTATCTCACTATCAGAGGCACTCTCATTTCAGCCTGGGTACATTAATCATTTTTTATTATTTGCCCCACTGTATATGTGCACTTTTGAATACACAGCACCTGTAGTCAACTGACCATTACATAAGAATTTTCAGCAACTTGCTTGTTCCTGTTGCCTGTTTTATCCATACAAATTTTAAATTCTTAACATTTCAATCATATTAAGTGAGTAGAAACCATTTTAAGACAATGTGATGTGTCATATAAACTCACAAGCTGAATTGCTATCATTAAGACAGTCTTCAGTGAAAAGGTCCTGTCACAAAGGTCAAAGAGGTCCTCTAGACTTGGGCCCAGCAGCTCCAGAACCATGGCATTGTATTTCCCGCAGGGCCCAAAGTAAAACACCTGGGGTACACCTTCTGCTGAAAAAAACAAGAAAAAAAAAAAAAAAAGAGAGAGATTACACCGTTGTGTACTTGTCCTCACATTTATCTAAGAAATCCCAAGTCTTAATTGTTTAACTGTGCATTTGCAGGTATACCAAAGATACACAAAAATCATTAATACCTTAGATAGTCAATAGTGAACTTTCGGGATGAGAGGAACTGCTAATTAGCAGATTAGATTAGTAGATATAAAGTAGAATATGCCTGAAAGATACACCTGTACAATTGTATACACTTCAAAGCAACACTTCTGCCTTTACATCTATGTTTATGAAACTCAAAATGTTTCAGTTTTGGTGAAACTGTCATAAATGTATAAATTCAATTATACATTTATTACTGTATGTAACTGGGGAGGACAAAAATACAGAGACACCTCTAAATACTTTAGTTCCGGAGAATGATGTACTGGGGACTTCCTGATAGAAACGCAGCTAAAGTGAGCATGTTGGTAAACAGTTGCTTGTAATACTGATTAATGCATCCAGCAGACACTGATTTACTGGCATGCTTTTGGAGTCATGTCACACCTGGCAAATATAATACCAGAGCAGCTTTAAAATCAATATAAACTGAAATAGCCCTTATCATTCTCCTTAAATCAGAATTGGCACATACTATACATACAGGCCTTGAGAGCTGTGTGCTCCATTCATGTTTTGTGTGCCACATCAAAGAAGACAGCTCTAAGAAATAATCAGTTACAATAAAGTTTTGTGAGGAGAACAAAATGGTATCACAAACCTATTACTACTGCTCATGTAATTTAAGCAGAGACTAAGCAGAAAGTACTAAAACTTGTCCTGATGAAGTTCATTAACATATTTATAATGTTGCTGAATACAACTGACTTGCCAGCTGGTAATGGGAAATACACTGCAGCGGGAAAGGTTGCATAAATGTTGTCAGCTAGCATATGGACTTGTAGGAGTCATGCTGTGCTCCATCCTGTCTTTCTGGACACCATTATGCAGTTCTGTGGGTTGCTAATTGTACCACAGGAATGAGTGCTTTGAAACCCCGGGTGCCAGTGGGAGGCCTAAAAAGTGTCAGATTGGAAATGTGCTGTAAATAAGTGGATAAACGGTTGTTCAGCTCAACTCAAGCTTGGTCACGCTTTTCACGAGCAAAGGAAAACCAAGCATGGCAGAACCATCATTAACTATAGCAAAACAGTTCTCATAAGAGAGTGAATATGTGTGCTCCTGTATAGCAATTTATAGTGAAATTGTACCTCACCTACGAGTTTTGTAGGTACCACTTTTGACTTCTCTCTCGTACAATTTCCTTAAAAATAATGAGTGCAATACCCGGGTGTAGTACTGACCTGGCCTACAGTATTGCAAGCAAATGAACATCATGTGGAACAGACAAAGACAAGTTTCTACAAAATATAAGCAGGTAGAACTGATATGCTTCTGAATTTCAGTATTTTATTCATGCTATGGAGGGTGTCTCCTCATATCCCGACCAAATTTTATAGACTGACACTGCTCTTGCCTGAGAAACATTTATATGTTTTACTAAATTTAGCAGCAAACTGTGCTAAATTTACAAACTATCCTGATGCACGTCACTACATAATACAAATAATGGATCTCGGGCAGCAACAATTAGTCAACGTAATCGACGATTATAAAAATTCATCAGCAGTACACTTATCACACAAGGTCTGGGATGAGAAAAGAATAGTATATAAATCCTAAGTACAAAAGGTTTTATGACAAATGCAGTCTGCTAAATAAAAACATCCTATCCTAAGCAAACAGATAAAAGACTACATTGTCCTATGCATTAATCTAAGAAGAAGGCAGCAGCAGTCTCTTACAACCACTGAGGAATAAGATGAGTGTGAAGAATGAATACGACTGGTTCCAAGCCCAACTGAAAGGCACTTGTCCAAATCTCCCTGCACACCTACTTTCTATGTGAAATTTTTTTCTTTCCAATCAGCTGTCAAAGGACAGATTTCTTTCCGGACTTACCATACGACCAGGCGCAAGCTTGGATGTTTCATTTTGACCATCTGGCCATAGTTGTTCAGTTATTAATAATTTATCCATCACTGTGACAAAGAAGAGGGCTATAGAAATTCACTACAATCAAAGTCTGTTATAAATCAGTCACATTTGATTTCTCTTCTACCAAATCTGTTCACGCTGCTCTGTAACATCAAGTGCGTTTTTTATATTCTGACAAAAAAGTGGTCTATTGCAGAAATGTAATTGGGATTGGTGCCTTTCTGTGTGGAGTCTGCACATTCTCCTCACACCTGTGTGGGTTTTCTTCCCACGTTACAAAGAAATGCATATTAGGTGAATTCATGACTCAAAATTGACTGTGGGAGTGAGTGTGAATTTGTTTTTCTTACTATACGCTACCAGTCAAAAGTTAGGAGTCAAAGTTTTAGCAGTCCAAAACTTTTGACTGGTAGTGTAAGCCCTGTGATAGACTGCCACCTGTCCATGGTGAACCCCATTATTCACCCACTGCATTCTGGGATAGTCAACAGTTTAGAGAACAGTGGAAAGATTTTTGCATTGCAAATATGTAACGGGTGTTTTTTTACTACGAAAAGCCTGGGAGACCACAGTCAAAGACAGATCTTAACCAATCTTTAAAAGGAGTGGCAAATCTGACACAAAATAGGCCTACTTATGCTGTAGTGTGTGTTGGCATAAGGATACTCATCTTAGACCTGCAGTGGCTCTGCACAATACATTATGCCTCTTATAAAATACAGTCAGCTCTTCTTGCCTCACATAAAGTTTTGTGCACTGTACTGATGCACTTTTGATTGACTCCCTGCTCCATTGTTGCAGCTTGGGACTGGTTACTCAGCTCTGCACACAAATCAACATGAAGCTGATTAGTTTAAATTTCTGACATACTTGCCGGCTGGCTTTAGTGGCTGGTTTCTCTAAACCTGCACTCTTATTGATCTGCTTATTTGTTGGATCATTAATTTTGATGGTTGTGGCATTTTACAACCTTTAACCTACAGTGCTACAGTATCAGCAATTTGTTTTTATTGCTACATATTTAATTTCTATTTTATGCAACTCTGCATGGACACACTTTCCCACTGCACTGAATGGGAAAGTGCATCCAAACGTTTGACTTGTAGTGCATGTGTAAAAGTTGTTCAGTAAACTCAGTTCTTCCATGTACATGTCACACTGACTGCGTGGCACCGTGTATTATTAACATTCAAAGCAACGGTGAGGTGCATGTTTCATAGTTCAATTAACAGTATGACCTCAACTCCGTGTAATGCATAAACGTAAGCTTCACTTTGGAAGCTGTATACATGTGCAATGTCTCACATTTCACAAGGAAAAATGTACACAACATACTATTTGGACATAATTGCATCCATAATGACAGAGGTCAACATCATCATGTAGCACCTGAAACACTGCTGTCAATTATGTAATTAGAGGAGAAATTGTGTTCTTCTTTTCACATGTGCAATCATAATGAAAAGAATAGCATATGTGAATGGCACTTCAGTGGTGCTACACATGAACAGAATGAAGTAACATCCACAAACACTAAAAACAACTTAACACTGTATATGCATCTCTGTAGATGCAGATATTTCTGAAATCTCTCACTTAACTACAAGGTTATGAAAGTTCAAAAAGTTTTCTCAAACACTGCTCTGTAGTTTCTCACATGGCTTATGTTTTCACTCAAAGTGAAATACACTTAACAGTGATCCATGCTTTCACATTTTATAAAGAGCACACAAACTGACAACAGATATGCAGGATAAGAACGCCAGCCCTTTTTCTGCATGTCTGGAAACTCTAAAAAGCTGTGGCACTTCTGGAAAGGTTTACTCCTTGGGATTGCAATGGTTACAAAGCTGGTGTAGTGTTGCATGATGAGGACTGGATGCCAATACTGTTACCAGCTCAATAGTGTCCACACAACCTTAAACAAACCCTGCAACACTGCCTTGTTCTCACCACAATGAGGTGTCATTGTTTGCCATCTTGTAAAACCAAAAGCAGAATGCAAGTCTTACTGCACTGACAAATATTTTTACATAATAGTTTGAAGAAGACACTTGATACCTAAATTGAATCATCCTCATTAATATCCAGTGTCTGTTGGTTACGCATCAGATAACAACACCTGATTGAGCATCTGAGTCAAACCACATTAATTCATAAAGACCCTCTTGCACAGACGCTGACAACCACATTGGCTGAAAGGAATGTGACAAAGCACACAGTCTAGAAAAAATGAGGTAATGTTATCCCATCTGGAGGAGAGGACAGAGACAGGTTAGTACTAGGCGAGGCAGACCTGCTCTCTAAATATTTAATACGTTTCCGTTCAGTTGGCCTTTTCCAGTGCTTGCCTTTGCAAAACAATAGCCATTAGCCTAAACTCCCAATTTGGTTATCATACATGAATGTAACTTCAAAAAGTACACTAAGGACTACAGTTCACAAAAACAGCATTTTTTTACCCCATGCCCAACCGTGAGTGTGATCAGCCCTAAACGGCAACACTGACATCATGTTTTGTGCGAAAAATAAATTAAATAAAAAATAAGTGATTATCACAGTCAAACTCTCCCATGAACAGCTCCAGTTTAGGTGCATTTATATGACTACCGACACTACATGTCCATTATATTGACCATTTTACTCGAAGGGCAATTAGCAACTATTAGAAAAGGTTTTCTATTGTTCTATTGTTTCTCACGCTCCCACCCATTTCCTCTAGTACCAAGACTGAAAAGGTTTGCCCTCAATTCAACCTTATGTTGTGGTCTTTTGATCCTCACATGGTTCTGGTCAGTGACTGTTGAAACTGGGATGCATCACCAGACCTCGACTAATCATTGCCGACAGTACATTTTCACCTGACCACCAGAACCATAAAAGCACTACTAGATACGAACTAGCAGTATAGCAAAAATGATCAGCAGTGACACTGGCTGAAATGAACCTTATTGCTGATATATACAAAATTTTATGGCATGCATGTTAAATATATAAAACAATTAGAAACCAAGTGTTGATGTGTATGAGTGTTAACCTTTGACAGTATGATTTAGCCTCATATGGTCAATGTAACTTAGCAAGCATTTCTGGATGGCTTGGTAAGACAAAGGAAAGCTAAAAGGTAATAACAAATAAGTACATTCTTCTGGTCCATGCAGCACCAATGTACAAGCCTGCTTCATGTAGCAAATCTATATCTACACTAACTTAAAGTTAGGCTACTAAAAAGCCCAATAATTGCTATGGTGCTGATAAATGAGGTGAAAAAGAGGAACTGAGGAGGTGGATGAAGGACAACTGACACCTACTCAAAACATCTCATTGTTGGGAGCTGCCAGCGCGTTGAAGAGCCACAAGCTGGAGGACACAGAGCGAGTCTGTGACCAGTACAGAGGACTGCAGCTGTGACACTGGTGCACAGTGCATGCGGTCCTAGTAAGGTGGGTGCTTCAGGATCAGGGAATCCCACGTTCAATGCAACTTCTAATTACTTCAGGAGAGAAATGTTCCCCAACATTAAAACTTTGGCTGAAGGTGAGCTGGCAAGTCCAGTCTCCAGTGCGGCAGCAGAGCACAGATTCAGCTTTGAGATCAAAATTATAACACCCATGAGAAACTTTGCAACAGTCGCCTCTGCAGCAGGCTAAGACACAGCAGGTCAGCTGAGTTCAATTCAATTAGCCTAACTTCGTGTAAATGGGTTGGTCATGGTTTAATGGTAGAATAATTCTCGTGAAATAAAAAATTAAAATTTTTATGACCCTGTCCCTCAAGATGATGGACAACAAGAAAGTCTAGCTAGACCTCTGACTATAGGTAAATTAAAATGCATTTTTCCATTTAAACATACCAGTGCACTAAAGTCAAATTTTAAATGTGCATTTCCTTGAAACAGCTATAGTCAATATTTGTAATAATAAGAAGTGTCAAATGGCAATGTGTAATGTGAAAGGGGCTACTTGACAAATCCACAGAGAATAATCACCCAACTCTGCTGTTTCCGTTTGCTCTATGGAGCCTACCGGACATTTAAATAAGCAACCGTTTGCTAACACACCTTACACAGCTTAGTTCTACTGCCCCAGATGGCCAAAAAATGATTGTGGAGTTTGGACTAAGTTTCTAAGTTCAAACTCCCAAGTACAGGAATCCGAACTTGACATACTTTATACTAAGAAATGTCAACTGAATAATACAGATTATTTTTAATTGATATTAGAAATGGGCATGGGACATGCATGTTGACTCAGGATACCACTTATATTTGTACTGAACATAAGTTACATTCTCAGATATAGTCTGCAACACCTCCTACATATTCTGACTAGATAACATCAAAATGTCTTTTTGGTAGAACACACAAGAAGATCAGCTGCTGTATCTTTTATGTGGGTGTATAAGAAGCTTTAGGTCGATTCCCTTCATACTAAACTGCACTCTTAGTAAGTCTATTTTCAAGCAAGGTCATGCTCCCTATGCATACAGGCATTCACACACATGTACACCAAGTCATGGAGATTAAAAGCTGCTGGCAGTTTAATATCAATATGTAACTTGAGTGGAGTAATCACTTGTTGAGGAAATGATACAATCTTCATGAATGATCTTCCAAAACAATCAAATCATTATCACGAGGAGTGGCAAACCAGTCTGTGACCTTACCTGTAGTTCCCAGTGTTTTGTAAAACCGGTACTCTAAATGCAACTGTGGTGCCCTCGACTTCACTGGTTCCTGTACAGAGGACACATCCAAACCAGTACTTCGTTAATGACAATAGCCTCACAATCTGGATTAAAACCACCTAAAATTGAAGAAAATCATGTAAATCAGTAGTGGAAGCAGATGAAACCATTTGGCTTAGTGAGCTTCATACTTTGATGGTGAAATTAAAATTCTCTAGTGAGCAATAATAAAGGCAGGAGTCATAATTTCTAGTCCTGCAGCCACACCTAACCACGCATCTACTCCTCATTCGCATTTGTCTCTAAGACCAGAACAGTCCCGTATGTTAACCATACTACTGCACCACCCTAGCACAACCTGCGAGTGTTAATTTGGAGGACTAGCGATGTGAAGTCATATTTAAATCATTATGCTAGCTCACCACCATGATGCTTGTCAGCCATTGTGATGGACTGTCCATCAGCCCATCTCTAATCTAAAATCTACACCAAGTGAAATCCTGATTTAAAATAATTGCTTCACTTCATGCATTGCACACATATATTTGCAAAGGTGAGGAGCTCAAACAGCAAAGGAAAGCACGCATACTTACCAGTTTAATAGCTACATATTCGTTGGTATAGAGATTTTTACCTGAAATAAGAAAGAAAAAGACAAGCATACATTACATGAGAGCTTTTATAAATAAACCACTTAAGGCTTTACAACAACAGGTTTACCAGGGAAAAACAACCTTGTAAGTGATAAGGTCTTAACAAGCTCCATACAGATACATCCTATGGCAAAAATATACATGGTTACCACTTTATTGGATACATCTAACCAAAAATAATGCAATCCAACAGAAGAGCCCCACAAAACATTTTATGATTCCAATACATTTGTCTAACCCAATTCATATGATCAAACTATTAGAAACATCTCTCTTTTTAATGCAATACAACACCACAAACAAAGTTGAATCGCAAACTGTTCAAAACCATACATTATCACCTTCATGAAGGTACAATTTATTGCAGGGCTGAGGTATTATACTGCAGTTGGTTCCATTAGGTGTAGCTGATAAAGCAGCAATGAAGCATACCTGCAGCTACACACGGAACTGTTAAGAACTGCTATAAAAACTTGCAAATACACTTTATGCTGAGCCATTTAACACAAGACTTAGATTCAACTTACCAAGTTTCAGTTCACCAAAGTTTCCACAGCCAATCTTCTTACCCACACGAAAATTTGGCCCCACCATGAGGACCCCAGACGAACTGGAGGAGCCAGATGGTCGTGACGAGTGTCCACTGCGGCTTCCTTGGGAAACTTTAGTGCTCCTGGCAGGCCGCTCACCATATTTATCTCTTTGTTGATCCATGACGTGAGCAGCACAGGTCAGCAGGAGCCTGAAGTGATGTACAAAAAGGCCTCCTGGGCCGGGCCCGCCACAGCCCTGGTCACTGGCAGTGCCTGGATGGTGCAGTCACTCTCATGAGACAAAACCTGGTACAGTAAACCAAGATTCCCGCCCGCCCTCCCCGTCACCTCTAACAGTTGTTGCACAAGCTGAACTTGGGCCTCAACATTTGCCGAAAAAGGACAAAGTCATGAAGACCTGCAACAGACAGAACACAACATATACCAAAGATAAAACAACTTTTCTATAGACAATAGCCTATAGTAATGTTTCTAACATGTTGCCACCCAGTTAATCTAATGACATCACCCAAAATACTGTAGTTTGGATTAAGATGGCAGCTACAGCATGCACGCTGATCTTTTTCTGTGATCTGAATTAAGAGATTCACATCTCAGTACAGTAATTTGGGGGACAAGTCCTGCACTGCAGAGACAGTGAGGCATGGTAGGGCCCCCAAATTGCACATAAGATTTCACCTTAAAGTTCCACTCCAGAGACATTTTTATATTTTCATATATAAATACTCTTTTGTAAACAATATACAGTAACAGTTTTTGCTCAAAAAATGCTCGGTGAACCTCTGGAATAGCCCCTCATTGTGTATTCCAGGGTCTATGAGTTTTCAAATATATGCAAATGTACCCCAACTTCTTTTTAGTTGTAACTTTCTCATTTGGACGGTGGTAAATAAGGACAGAAGTGGCCCACTGTAACAGTGCTGCTTGCCAGAACAAATAAACATGAACTCACAGTGGTAATAGAAAACAGCAGCCAGTTTCAGTATCAACACAAACCTGAAGTCAGAGTTTACAGTCATGAAGGCATCCCAGACTCTCTACCACCCACAGCTGTAAAGTGGCGGACAATGTCGATAGGGAATATTATGCAAAAAAGGATGTAAAGTTACATCTGCTCACCAGGAGAGAAAAGCTTAAAGCTGTATTAACTAACTTCTCCCTCTAATTTTTGACCGTTAAGGATGACGTGAGAGTCAAAACAAACTCAAGCAGTATCCCCTCCTCTCCGCTCCGCCCCTCCTGTCCTGTCTCTGAAACTACATCATATGTGGTCACAACAGTCAGAGACAGTTGTAACAGCCAGGAAGTGCAGCAGTAATGACTGGTTCCAGAACTAATGTACATGCAATACATAGCCCATAATGCCTGTGGCTTTCGGTGGCGACCATGTCAAAAAAGGGGGTTTACACTTTGGTGATATGCATGTCTAATTTCATGTTACGCATTGATGGTTAAACAAACTTCCCAAATTTCTAGTTGTGATGATGGCATAAATCTTAACATCTCACTAAAATGCTACATGGACTGCAGTGTTTTGTCTGACATAAACCAGACCAAAACCAAGCAAAAATTAGCTAAATTACTTTATTGGCTAATCCAGGAAAATGCTCTAGTTTCTGCTAATTGGACAACAAAACATTAACACTGCAGCCAGTTTGGGGGTATGTTCAGTAAATTAATTTTTGGTTCAAACTATTGCTTCTACCATGGGCACAAATAGTAATGAAGCGATAATAATTACAGGCAGTTTGGTTTATGATGAATCAATCACCAAGAGATAAGATGTTCATAAACTGCCTCTTTGGGGACCTCCCATTGTGTTAACAGTCTTCAGAAAGTCAGTGTACTGAAGCGTGCTGCAGACAAAATGCTGACTGTAAATTTGGCAGATTATCATTTCCATTATTAATTTTAAATCAATTTGTCATCCAAAAGTATATTTTAAAAACACTGTTCTATGGTTTCAATTAAAAGCTATCATTTTGTGCTTTCAATAAAAACTAACGGCTACTAATGTTTTCATGACAATGCTGTTATTCCTGAGCATGGAAAGGCTGCTGCAGAAAGTATTTGTGTGTGGGCTTCCGGATGACTCATGCTCAGTATTGCCTGCACAGATCTCAGCATTAAAGACAGCTAGTTTGCTCCCAAGGGCAACTGTGCACTGTTGCTATTACATAAAACCAGGAACAGAACAACATGGCTATAAAACAGGTCTGCAGCAAAGACCAGTGATTAGCTGGAACAGTTTCCATTGTGAACAACAATTATTTGTAGGCCAGTCTAGTCCAGTGCATGCCAGCGTTTACATTAACTTGGCTAGGTGTTTCATTACCATCTTCACTCACAAACTCTATGGTGAACACAGTATAATGAACACAAACAGCAGACTGATGTTACCGATTATCTTCTGGTCACTACTGTTCACCTTAGAGCAGAGACTGGAACTGCAGTTATATACAGTACACAGGAATGACTGCAGAATTATACCTGACTTTGTCACTGATGAACAAAATGCTGAACTTTCTGACTACAATATTACTGTTACAATGATGATTCAGTAAGTCTAACGTATAACTGCATATGAGTATGGGTACTGGTTCAAGGAAGAGAGACATGCAGGGCTCCAGACTGCAAGTGATCAGTCACATTTTGTGACTAAATTTATTTAAGGTGCAAATCAGTTTTGTTTTTTTTTTAAGGTTACACAAGGTGGACATGTTGGACAGACTTTACAATTTCTGCAATACTGTCATTGCAACATTTATCTGCAGGTCTGTCAATCACTCCATCTCATGAAGCAGAGGCTCCCATCTATCAAATGTGTTGATCCACACTGAGTCCGAGATGAGCTTCATCCCTGGACCCCCCCCTCCCCCCCCGTCTACTTTTTACCTTTGGTGCATTTGAAATGTAATTGACACAGACAGTTGCTTAAATCTGGTAGATCAATTGTTGGCCTATTTATGTGTTGGAAACTTCTTTCTTGAATCTCTTGTGATGAATCCGACTCCTGGTGTCACTGAGCTTTCTGGTTTTACTTGCCCCCATCCTTTGTAGCAAGACAGGGCAATAATAAACTTAATAAATCCATACATATAAACACTGCTGATTTCATTCTGATGATCCTACATGAAGACTATTTTTTCCCGGTACATTTCTGCTGCTGGTCAGCCTGGTGAAGACTGTGCTGTCCTCCTGTTGACAGAGCTGTTTTGACAAGAGATACTGCTGGGAGGTCAGTCAGTGCAGATTGAATGGATCAAACATTTAAGTCAGTAGCGGCTGAAACCAACCACCAAGTTCCTCTTTAAGTAGTAGACTACTAGTAACTAGAGCTGTCCCGAATGGCGATTTTTAGGCTCCAGATATTCGGTGGTAATAATTGACTGATAGTTTTACCTGTGAAGACATCTCACTCTGTTGGAGTTGTTGGAAAGACAGAGAAGCACTCAGTTCACTCTAATTATTCAGTGGTGTAAGAGAGTGCCTCTTTACCTCAGACCTGGCAGACAGCAGGTTGCCTGTTTGTCCACCAGCTGCAATGAGGTCACAGACCTGACAATAGCCACTTTCATTTTGCCCTGTCATCAATTTAAGTCGCTCTCTTGAATATTTGACTACTAGAATTGAAAACCTATTACCTACCCAATGAACAAAATATCCAAATACTCAGATATTCCAGCCCTACTAGCAACTTTAGCCCAAGCCCATTAGCCAGGTGAATAAGAGAGCTAAACTGTGCATGAAGTCCAACACAAACATCACCAAAGAGTAGAAATTCTTAAGAAAACCAGGCTACAAATAAATCATGTACACAATGGCAAAACATGCACTCAAATCATCGGTTTATACTTCAGCTGAAATATAATAGTCTACAATAGTCTCTCCGAATTTCATTTTGAATGTAGGCTATGCACACTGGATGTTAAGGTTATCAAAATAACTCGCAAAAAACATTCATTTGCATTACATAGTAAAACAGAGGTGGTGCCACCATCTGAGATTTTGTGGCAGTAGTGCCACCAGTATGAAATGTCACTCTGGCTATATTCAAATTAAAAGGCACATTGCTCAAATTCACTCATTTTCTCAAAGCCAATGTTTTTGTGCTGATGGTTCACATTCACGTTTGGAAATGACATTACAATTTAAACACCGCTGAGGTCCTAAACTGCCACACATGTGCAGATTTAATTGAAAGGTGAGCCATGTGCATTCAAGACCAACAACGTCATTTAAGAGACAGTCAAATCGCAAAATTGCCTCAAGAACTGCTTAGTTACAATATGCTCTTTCCAGCTTGGCTTGATCAGAAGCTTCTCTATAAATGTGAAACAACCTTGTCTTTCACTGTCCCCAGCATTGTTGTCGTTCTTCTCCATGTTAATTTTTAAACTGTCTGTGAGGAGCTGACACTGAGCAATGATAACAGGAAAAAGGCACATGAGCAGAGGAGTGGGACAACAGAAAAAAGAAAAAGGCGAATTCTAATCTGACAGTGGCTACAGAAATGAATCTGATCTGAGACCACATATGCAAGTGGCCCAGATCTGATTTGAAAATATATTATTTTGTTTGTTCACACATAGGTGAAAAGATCAGATCTGAGTCACTTGGATGGGGGGGGAGGATCTGAGTCACTTCAGCAGGTAACGTGAACGTAGCTATTGCTGACCATTTGTTATTTCTGCACATGCTTTTTCATTGTACAGTACAAGGCTGCACTGTATAATGAGTATACATTACTGCTGATCAAATGTTCAGTATCAAATGACACCAGGCCTGCTTTAAGTCCTTCTGGTTTTAGTCTACTTTGTTTTGAGCTAATTATTTGCATGCGTCACTGTAAAAGGCATTTTCACATTAAAGTCAGAGAGCTATTCATTGATGTTTCACAACAACACTTCTATTTCAGGTACAGCCATGTATGAGAGGGCATGTTGACCCACTTTGTAGACAGCATAAACTGAATAAGGCTAATATGTTTTTCTTTTCTGGACATAAAACTGAACAGATTTTTTTTGTGCGTGTTTTATGCATTTGTTTAATAACTAATATTACATCACTGCAGTCCCATTGTGTTTTAAACATGTCCAGACATGCCTAACCTGAGGATTAAGATGGAAAATTAGACATTACAGTTGAACAGAAACGTAATGCATACTGTACAAGGCACCAAAACTACACTTAATGAAGGGCTGCAAAACATCTACAACCTTCAATTACAAAGGTGCATCACACTATGCACTTCTCATGAGTCTGTGGGTATTACTTTTCTACCATTATTGTCTCTACCTCAAAATGTGCTCACTATTAAATATGTTCATTTACTTGAAAAAAGCTTTAAAAAACTGGATCATAAAGAGTGCCCCATTCCATCTTGTACGGAGAGTCACAACAAAATTTTCATTTAGCTTGCGGGGTAGACAAAGGAATATCTACAGCTGCAAAATGTAAAGCAATCTAATATAATAGCCAGGCAATAACCTTTGTAAATGCTTAATTTTAGGAGAAACTGTGTCAGAGGTACTGGACATATTTTTAGCACACAGTAGCAGTGTCATTGATTTAATTATTTTAGAAGGTATCCCTGTAGTTTTGTTCACCTGTTCACATGTATATTTAAGGGATTTACAAAATAGATCCTATGGAACAATATAATAGATTTGCAATTTATTATACTGCACATGATCATGTGTTCTGGCTGTATAAATGTATTTCTGTTGTCTACCAGATCAATAAAGGGAAGAATAAACTCAAACAAACCACAGGACTGTTCCTGAGGAACAGAAAATAGTCTGTGGTCTATACAAAGGGTTTCTTCAGTTTTGATGTAAGGTGGGGATTCCCCAGACTTTATCCCCGTTTCCTGATAAATAAAAATATATTTGAGGGTAAACACCTTATGGCACCATATAAAATGTATTTTCTTTCTCATAAGGAGAAAACCAGAAAGGATTTTGAGAATTTTAATTACATTACACATTTACCTTACTGGCCATTTTCTTTACTGATTTGTTCAACAATTCTATTTTGGCAGCAATAAGATAAAAAAAGCATTGTGAATTAATATTTAACTATATATATTTTTTTTACAGGATTTGGCCTGATAAGTATGTTGGTGAAACACTTTCTCTCTCTACCAAGAGAATGTCCCCCTGCTTGCACTTTTGCATGAATGTCATTGTGCATGAGAGGGAGTGTGCCATATGGAGACATACTCAAGACTGAGCTGTTGTGACTACAGGTAATATGCTCCGTTGACCGCACATCTGTTCTGTTACAACCAAAAATATGCATCAGGTGATCTTATTTTCTAATTCTAGGCTTGCTGAAATTGATGAAGCAGGGATTTAGGGCTTACAGAATAATATAAACAAGGCACTATTACTACAAGTGATTTTACAGTGGCGCTATACCATCCTAGTAAAATATGAAGGCTTGTCCAAATGTACAATTCACCAACTCCTTACCATCTAATCACAGGCACACAGGATTTGGAGTAAGTCTAATTCAAAAGGTTTGTTTGATGACGCTAGTAGTAAAAACTTAACATTTTACTGAAAAGGTGTAATCAGTTAATAGCTAGTTTTAAAATCAAGCACTACCCACTTGTATATTTCCTTCAGTAAGGTACATTAAAAAAGCATTTAAGACTCCAAAACCTTGATTACAGTGCTCAAATTTTCCTGTCAATATATCTCAAGAATCTGAGATGCTTCTAGCTGATTAGCATCTATTTAAAATGACAAATCTGTTGACATCTTTTCATTGTACAAAAACATAGGGCTGCTTAGTAGAGTGATTAACCTTCAGTGGAAAGTTCAGTGGGGGTGGGGGGGCTGCCAGCAGTGCAGACTCCTTCTGTGGCAGCACCAGCTAACATCTGCCTCTCTGCTAAAAACCAGCTCTTGTGAAGTAAGTGGTGGGAATTTTGATTATTCATGCTTTTGCTTCTCCATCAGTGCACAGAGAACAATATATTCATACATGGTCATTCTATGCACCCGCATCCATGACAATGATCTCATTTCCACCTAAGATTTTGATATTAAAGTCTTATAAATACTGCATGAGCTGCAGATGTATGTCTTCCTTTATGTGAAGACACATTAGGGCTTACCCTTTACTGAAAATCTACCAACCTAACATCTACAACGTTGAAATGTTTAAACACGTTTTAAATAAAGATGAATGAAATGGAAAAGGAGACAAAACATGCATTCACACAACTTGTAAATAAGCGTTTGCTGTTTGGACTAATGCAACTAGCGCTGCTCTCTGAAAGCATGCACAAGCGTTGTGTTATTTAGTTTGAAATGTTGGTAACCAGTTAGCTTACTTTATTGTATGGACAGCAGCCGAACAAAGTTAGGACATAAACTGATTCCGTAATAAGCCATAAATACAGCAAAACAAGGAAGACTTTCACTGAGATGTTCTGTGTCTATGTATACTTGAACATGAGCAAAGGAAATTTAAATTTTAACGTTACCTAAACTAAGAAGTGCAATTCAACTTTATATTTAGTCCTAATATGCATGTGTGGTCAAATCAAACTTGCAGCAGTCTGAGGAGTGTTTCAACACGACTCTGCCTGCGGTGACCGGGCTAAGAAAGGCTCTTGGTTAAATTCGCCAATTTTATATTCTGTGCCATCACGTCTTTGCATGCCTAACCTTACACCTACAACCAGTGTTAATACTAAATTTGTGAGTAAGTGTTTAGATAGAGACAGCCGAGGAATATAAATGATGGAACCTTTGTAAGCAGGCCTTCGGCTAAACCAAAACAAGAAAGCGGTTGCACTTGTAAGTGAGCGATTCACGGACAAAGCCAGCCTTGACCATCACTATCATTAGTGATGGTCACATCGCTTACTAAGTCAACTAAACGTTAGCCAAGTTAGCTTTCCAGCATGCCAACAAAAAGCCCGACTAACCAGCCAGAAAGCTAACGTTAGCTAAACATTACTTAGCCACAATGGGTGGTCTGGCCCCAAACATGTTATGAAAAAAAATCACGGTTTATACATTTTCTTGTTAATCATAACACTGGGTTAGTAAAAGAGCAGAAAATAAAGCAATCAGAATCGGAGCCTGGAGTTAACGCCTTAGCTAACACCTACTAATGGGTAAGCTAGGTGACAGCTGCTCCGACCGCAACAAGGAAATTAGCTCCGTTAGCAACAAAAATATTAGCTACCAACCAAAAGCCTACTATGAAACGTTGGTTTGCTAACTCATCGCACGCAAACACAACTGGCTCACCTTCGCTGATAAAATCCAGACGGTCCGCACACAGCTTGTGTATGTGTCACACCAAATGTACACGAATGACTGGAGCTTGGTCTGTGGGTTTTGGTGTTACTTGTTATTACTGGTGTTTCGGGCTAACGGGAAAGTATCTTTAGCAACTCTCTCTATTCTTCAGTGCTCGTCTGCCTTCACTACTCGTTAAAGGTTCGAACACACCGGATGTAGAAACACGGCACCGCCCGCTTCACACCGCTGACTTCCAGGTCAGACCGATACAAACCAATTAACCATTAGTTCCACTGAAACAATCTCAGATGCAAAGATATCAGTCTGCATCTCAAATTCCAGCGGTGGGAAGTAATAAAATACATTTAGGCTACTCGTATAGTGCTTTAAGTAGGCAACAATTAATGTACTTGTATTTTACTTGAGTAGGATATTTACATTTTATTCTACTTTTTACATCTAATCCACTACAATTAGATTTGTACACATTACTTCGTTTTTTTTATAACAGCTATAGTTGCTAATTGCTTTGCAGATTAACACTGACATAAAATATATAAGGGTACAACATAAACTACATTACTGCAATGTTTGTGTCTGTCTGGGGTTTCCTGACACTTTTCATGTCTCAGATGTTTGCAGTTCCACGAATAATAGCAATTTCCCTAAAAATGGTCAGATTAATTGAAATAATAAAAATAATCATTTGTTGCAGCCCTAGACTGTTATATTTCTTGCTGGGAAAGTCCAAAAGCTATGTCAGTCAAAAGGGGAGATGTCCTGATCCCATTTCCTTTTTGATCCCGGTTCACACACAAATTTTTTAAAATTCTGTTCTTTAAAACTGCAGTAACAGTTTGGCTATAGCAAGTAAAAAAAAAAGTAATATTGAGCTTCAGAGCTCATTCTCAACACAACCAGCAGCTGACTAAATGATCTAACTTTGAAGTCCATTTAGTAGCTGTTCTCAAGTGTTTGATCATGTCACACATCTCATTAACAGATGTTCTCATAGAATTGCAGATGCTCTTTCAAAGTTTTGTTACTTTTACTCCATGGTTGCTTAAAAATTGAACTGAGTCGCTCCTATTATTTGTGCTTGACCAGCACTTGACGATACACAGAGGATTTTGGACACGGATGCAATCTCAAGAAGGCCTTTTACTTAAGCCCAGGGGACAGTTGTTCATCTACACACTTAACCAATCATATTTATTTTGTACATGTACCTGTATAGCATTTCCAGGATAGTGTATGTGCCTATGCAAAGTGGTTACAAAAATAAAGAACATTCTTACGTAAATATGACATGACAAAAAACCTAGACTCACAAATACTGGATATGAAAATAAGGGACCATCTCACTGGAATGTCTGTGCCTCTGTTATCATTAAACAAATTTATCAATAAATGTATTGTTACTAACAATACACTGTATGTCCGCAGTTGTACGAGTCCATTCAAATAGCATTCATGTGTACTGTACATACATGTCAAGAATCATTCACATAGGGCAGTATACAATCTCGGCAATAGCTCCAAATGGATACCTTTGGGCTTCAATCTTTGATACAACAGAAAAAAATCTAAGTACTTTAACCTGTTGTGTAACAAATGAATTAATAAACATGACTCTAGCGAAGACATTGTCATATAAAATACCAACAAAGCAGTGATTGTATTTTCTCAACTTGCACTCACTGTCACCTCATTTTTCTTTATCATTTTGTAACAACTCTGACAAGCTTATAGCCTTGGAAAATCTGAGGTCTAGTATGATTTCTATAATCTAATATGCACTGTGTGATACACTCCAACAATGTGCTAATACTCCTGGCTTCAGTCATCAACTGTGTTTTTTTTTTTTTTTTTAAATAAGAAAAACCAGCTTTTCCAACGTAACCTAGAGTCAATGTTACTCTAGGGTAGTACCTCAGTGTTAATACTTTAATATAGTAGTTTAAGCAAGACATAAATATATACATCTCACTGAGAGACAGTGGGATTTACAAATACTACGGCTGGGTTAATTTCTATTGGATTGCTTTTCAGTAAAAAGTCATTATGCTAAAGAAATAGTATGTAAATGTGGCAGCTTTTTGTATCAAAGAAATGTACCAAATTAGAGAATACACTATGAGTAAAAAAGACGAAAGAAAAAAATGGATGCAAGTTTTATGTGTTTCTAAATTGTCCTCTCAAGTCCTGATCAAGAGGTAAAGTGTTCAAAAAAGGCAGTTGGGGTCTTTTAAAAAAGAAGCCTCCCTCTTCACACCTCCGGAAGGAATGCCTCCCAAAACTTTATCAGCTGGAACACAATCAGAACAAATAAATGAGTGTAGTGAGGGAGATTCAGTATCGTTTAAAATTTCAGTTAATGCTAAGTGTAACCAATGTTTAATAGTCCTTATTATGAGAACAGTAGTAATAATTAAAATATATGTTTAAATGAACACTCTGGTACCCAAAGTAAAGCATGAAGTGAACAAAATAAAGCATGCTGAGTCAAGTTTATATGTTGAATATATATAGTAAATGATTACCCGCTGTTGAGATTGCAGCATCGCCTCCAAATACTTGATTATTTGGCTCTTGAAGTCCTTGGCTTTTTCTTTCTGAAGAGAGAAAAGTGCTGTCACATCTCAAGCTCTTTGCCAAAGTGGTGGACTGACTGACTGTGCCATTCTTAGAGCTGTGCTGTTAGCATGGCTAAAATGTTTAATGTCACCTCTTTCTCTCTTTATACCAAATAAGCCACACATTTCTTTTAAGTCAAATACACAGTGCCTATAAAAATATCTAGTTTGACAATAAAGCGTCACATTAAATCTTCTTTGATCCTTAGTTATAGTAAGATGATGACACTTTTTACAGCATTTGTAAATGCATTCACATACCTCAAACCTGAGAACCTCCTTGCGCACAGCCATGCCAGTCCTGTCAAAATCTCTCTCGTACTGAGTAACCTTCGCCTCCCACTGAGGACATAACGAGGAGCAGAACAAAACAATTAAGGATCAATATGTCAATATTTTCCAGCATATAATATTCAATATTTTATAACATTTCATCTTCTCTTAAACAGTAAACAAATACACATTAACTGCTTATTCTGCCATCAGACTTCATTGCCCAGACAACTCTTACAAAGCAAGTCTTCATCAATCTAAAACTGGCAAACAGTTTTATTGAAAATAATACAATACTGTTGTTGTTATGATGGTACATCATTTGTTCATGTGCAGTATACAGAGACTGTTCTGGTTTTCTTGTTTTTGGTGTCGTTTTTAAGACAGGGTACCACCTGCGCTTACAAATAAGTGACTATATTTCAATATATTTTCTAAATAATCAAGTGACCTGAATATGTCATAAAATGAAATGTGATCAAATGTGAAAAAAATATCTGTCTGACCCAAATACCAAAAATATTCAATTTAGAGTCATCCAAAAAAAAAAAAAAATCCACCTATGTGAGAAGGTGCACCCAATGATGTTTTGGAATAATGCTTAATAAAGGGCCTGAACTCAATTATCAAAATGATTCCTAATCATTTTTCTCTTTTCTTGTCACATAATATTTAGCTACAAATATTACTAAAATGATTGTGTTATCTCCTCCTTTGATAAGTTAATTATTTAGTCCTTAGTAACAACACACATACTCCCCTTTTAAAAAAGTGAGCTATAACTACGTCAAGTGGGTGGTAATGAAGGTCTTTCATGGAGCTTATAAAATTAAAAACGATGTGATAAGACTTTATAGCTCATGTTAAACTGAAACATAATTTAGGGAGCCTATGTTCAAGTGGAGCTCTTCAAGGCTTGTCATTGTACCTCAGTGATCTCTTCTTTGGCCTGCTGCAGTTTGTCTGGCTTGTTGGCCCACAGCAGCTTGGCCTCAGTCTCTCTCTTCTTCTGCAGTGTGCTCTGAGCTTCCTGCCATCGTTGCCACGCTCGTACTCGCTGGTCAAAGCAGCCCTGTGGACATCCGTTTTAAATAACATTATTTTCTATTTAAACAAGTAGTTGCACTTTTTTTTTTCTCAAGAGAGGCCGCTGTACAAAATTACACATACATAGTTTAAATATGACAGACAACAGTTCACACACACAATTACAACAGTTTTACTTTAAGAAAAGCAATTACATGTAGAATCGCAAGTCCTTATGTACAGTCTTTTAAAACCCTCAGCTGGGACGAGGGATGTTGGTTTCAAGGTTTCCTGCAGCTCATTTCACTTGTGGTGCACATATTACCTGCAATCATTTCTTCCAAGCTTGGATTGAACATACAGTACAGCTAACATTAAAATATCCTGCAACCGCACACTGTACAGTATGTACTTTGTTTATATGAAACCAGTGAGCAGGGGCAGTGAGGCAGTAGAGCCTTACAGATAAATAAATAATACAATGCAACTTGCATCCATCGATTAAGGAGGACCATCCCATCTTTTGATATGAAACACGGTGGTGAGTGAAGAATTTATCTCCTGTGATGAAGTGCAGTGCACTGTGATACTGAGTCAAGAGGCTTTAAGGAGTGGGACGAGGCAGGCATGTAGAAAATGTCAGAGTCTTCAAGAGCAGACATAATAGTAGATTACACAATAGTCTTCTGACTAGCAAAGCAAAAGCAAGAATTGTTTCTATATAAAAAAGCCAATTTTGACCTTCAGTTTGTTTGATCCAGTAGCTATGATAGGATGACAGCTGTTCATATCACTGGGATCACCACCTTTATTGTAACAGAATCACCTGAGCTGCTTTCCAAATTGTGGGGCTTTTGTAACGTAATGTTATTTATTTTTATTGAAGAATAATGAGTCAAAATATTATTCCTAATGCATATCCTCCGATGTGCAGCTGTCAGCTTACCCGCACAGCACCCAGAAGGCGGATGTAGTCAGCCAGCAGCTCTGAAAAGATGAAGAAATCACTGGCTGCCTGCTCCTGATGCAGCTGCTCCATCTTATCCTCCACCTCTGCTAGCTGGGACAAGGCCCGTGATAGGGCTGTGTTGTCCTCAGAATTTCCCAACATAGCCATACTTTTGGCAAATACTGCTGTGTTTCCACACAGCTCTGGTGTTGAAGGAGGAAACAGAAAACATATTCAGTCTACTTGTTTCGCCTTTCTGTGAAAAGCAGTGGACTGGACTCTTCTGCTTCACCTTTTGAAACAATCTGATGAAAATAAAAACAAAAACAAAAAATCTGGGCAACAGAGACAGGTCATGAAAGGCACAAGTAGCTTACCCTTCCTGTGACTGACCAGGGAGTCGACCACAGAATGAAGCTTCCTCAATTGCTGTTCCTCATTTACCACCTCCTGGAACTTGTCCTCAAACCACTGAACACAACCAAACCACTTCATCATGTCAAGAATAGCAGTCTGTTTGTCTTGCTGCAATGTCAAGTAAAATAGTTACAATGCCACAATACACTGTGGCTAAAAATAACCAATTTACATACATAATTAATTTCATTTCAAACAACAAAATATTGAGATAATCATATCAATGATATAATGTTCTCCTGCTCTGTAACTGTCCATATTGATTATTAAACGCAAATTTAAAGAAATATATTCAAAAAATCACTACTAGACAGTTCAATGCAGTTTTGCATATGTTGTCAGGTCTTGTATCAAAATAATTTGCTATAATACTTCATGATGGTACCCAAACCTACATTTGAGCAGTCACTGCATCAACATTTAAGATTTCTGGTGCTTCTGTTGATCTATCAGGATTTATCCAACTATGGGCTTTTCCAACTCTATGAAAGAATATATTATACTATAAAATGTATCTCCATATGCAGGCCACATGCACAGCAGTCTCCTGAAAACTCACAGTATCGGACTCATTTATTTTGATGGTCATCTTGTTGACAGCATCTGATGCCTTATTGATCATTTTGAGGAAGCCAGCTCCACTCAGCGCCTGGGTATTCACTGCCCTGGGCAGCTGAAATTACACACAAACACACGCATAACTCAAGTGAGCACTTTGGTAATATATCATTCTCAAGAAGAAAACAAGTAAGCATTCCTTCTCAAGGCACCTAGTTAAATCTAAAATTGACATGAAGTTGTTATCCAGTATACTGCTGCTGGAAACTCTTCTATATCCCATAGTACCCACATCTTCTCTCTCCAGGAACTCACGGACATCAGGATCTTGTAATAACATTGGATGAGAGACCACTCTCTTCAGATATCTAAAAAAAATAGCAGGAGCTGAATGAAGTGAGTAAAAAGTAATGCCCAAAAACTAACATGTAGAACATGGAACCAAAAACAGAGGAATGAGTAGAGATCGAGGTAAAACAGCCTTGGATAAAACATCTCTGCAGCATAAAAAAAAGCTGACCTACTATGAAGAGTTCTTATCATCTTGGTAATTATGCCACTACATGAAACAGGTGTGGATCCTTACCTCTCCAGAGCTGCTCGTCTTCTCTCCAAAAACTCTACCGATGAAGGGTCATCCATCCCCACCTTCACTTTAGTCATTCCTAATCATCCAAATGACAGTCACTAAAGTAACACCAAAATGACAAAAAGGGACAGAACACACACAGAAAAACAACAGAGCCGGCCGCTCACCCACGACACTTTTCTCTGGCGGTGGCGGAATGATGCAGCCGTGGAGCAACTGTTTGACCGACAGCTTCTCATAAAGACCCAGGAAGTCACTGAAACGCCTCCTGGCTGAGAAGGTCTTACTCTTGAACATGGGCAATGAAGTCTGATGGCAGACACGGTAGAGTACATTAGAAAAACACCGAACTAATAAACAACTGTGAAGATTTAGACAGTTTTAAAATCCATGTAAAAATACACAAAACATATGTATCAACACAAGCTTTACTACAGACCCTGGTGGACACTTTGTAGGCCACATACGCATTCATACCGTCTCCTAGGAGGACAGAAACATTGGTGATACATAGACTATAGAGTATGAAATTAATGTGTCATTATTTAAATGCTAACATGAGCTACAGTGCAACAAGTCAAGTGAACTAATCAATGTTATAATTATTCAGCTGCTTTCCATACAACATCTGAATAAACTGGAAATTACAGAGAGCTGTATTAGTTTTAACATAAACAGAGCGATAAAAAGAGACTAACCGATTTTCTCGGGGTTGGTGACAGCAACATCCACATCAAAACTATCCTTGGCCTCTTCCTCCTCCAACTTTAATTAATGAGAAGATATTGATAAAGTTCAAACTCTGTAAACACAACTCAGTCTGACCATTTGGCTGTAACTGGTACATTACTTGGCATTCAAACACAGACAAGCAATCCATGCAATTATTTGTCACCAAGGTCCGAGGAAGCTCAGCTGCAGCCTGTACCTGTTCCAAGGAAGCGGGCTGCACGGCTGCAGGGCCCTGGGTGAACGTAGAGGTGGGATGAGGACCAGAGGAGGCAGAGAGCTCCTTCCTACCAGAGCTGCCAGGCTTGTCTGTACTCAGCTCCACGTGTGCCTCTGGGGAAAGAACAGATTTGATTATTGTATGCCTCTCTTCACCAAAAAAGAGATTAAAAACAACTTGGTTAAAGTAGTGCAAGTCAGAAAGGATCACAAGCTACACACCTGGTTTATCTAGAACAGTGCACTGATACGTTGAGAATTACTCCCTGTGCAAAGCTTTATTTTTATACTGCTGTACAACTGAGCAGCACTGTGCCTGATAATTCTCTGTGATATCCCATTTAAACTGCTGTTCTTTCATCCAGTAGTTCCTGATTTAAATGATGTATTTTAACATTTGAGCTTTACACTTAATGCATTTTATTTTGGCAAAGATTTTGTACAGCTTCATGTATTAACCCAAACTTGATCTTATAATATGGAAATGGGCCCGAGGGTAATCCATGAGCTAGTGAAGGTTTTCAATAGAGCTGTGATCTTTTGATATTTCTGATACCAGTGCCAACATAATCCTTGAGTTTATTTACCAGTATTGAAACAATATTTTTGTGTCCTTAACAAGATAAATCAAACATCTCAATGTATCAGCATGTAAAATGCTAAGCACTCTTCAGTTCCAGCTGCTAAAATGCTAAGATTTGCTGTTTTTCTCATGATAAGTAAGCTGAACATTTATGTGTAATATCAGTGGAATGCCCGTTAAGAACTGCATTATTAAAGTCTAGCATGATTAAGGCTTAAAATAAACCATCTCTCAAAACTCAGAATTCTTTGTAGGGGTGCAAGAGCTGCAAAATTTAAACAAAGTGGGATAAAATGAACAGAAATGGTCTCCTAACCATCAAACAGGTCATTGTCATCATCAGAGGGAGCTCCATTGGATTTGGTGGTTGTGTTGCTGACCTCATCCTCATTGAACAGATCTGGAGACTCTTCATTAGCTCGGCCAGGCTGACAGCTCACAGCCACAGGATTACTCTGCAGACAGGACAGTCACAAGCTTTAATTAATGAGCCACAAAAACCCCAAAGAGAAGGGGAGACATCACAGGAGTAGTTATTATCCTGTCTCAAGACCGACACAGACTGTAATGGAAAGTGAGTGTGTACATTTGCTCTTACAGGGCCTACTGTACTTGAGTACAGTTTTGAAGTATTTGCTCTTTACTTAAGCATTTCCACTTTCTGCTACTTCATACTTATACCCTGACTGTTTTAGAATGAAATATCAGGTTATTAGTCCATGGCAACTATTCCTGTAGCTATATTTTATTTGGATACTTTAAATATATCTTGATAGTGAAAGTGATGATGATGGTAAGTTTACTTTGTAGGGCTTCTACTTTTTGATGAAGTAACGTTATTTTATATGAATGTATTATAACCTTTTTATGTAAGGGATTCGAGCACTTCTACCACCGGACACAGACTAGTGTCATGTGAACTGGAGATTAGCAAACACTACACTTAAATATTCTAAGGAAATACATGTTAAATTAAATACAAGATGTTCAACTGGACATCGAGACAAGCGATCATCTTTAGACGAACCTCTGACGTTAAGTAAGCACTTTAGGCACGCGAAAACTAAATTATAAAACGTGCTAGCTACAAGTTTGTGCGCTGCTAAATGACTTCAGTAAAGTCTATGAATCAGTTTCAATGCTTTTTTGTTTCATCGCCTCTCTGTCAGTGGCCTTGAATGCAGGTCAGATCGGATAATGAGGCTGATTTCAATGCCCTGACTAAACCACTTGATGCAGATATATTTAACCATCACACACAGCATGCTGTTATTAATGTGACCGAGCCGTAGACATACGCTGCAAACAAAGATGTCCTCTCCCTCGTCGCTGTCCTCATCTGCCATGTCAGTCTGTCCAGTTTCTGGCTCCTCTGAAGCAGGGAAAGGAGGAGGGTTCCGATACGAGCTAGCCGCCATATTCCGTGTTGTGAGCGCGGACGTAAACGGAAGTGGAGGACGCGTGAAAGATGCTAGTAAATGGCGACAGCGACACTTGCTGGTCACGGAGCAACATGACAGGCCAATGTGTTGTAAACGACTAAACATTTAAATCCACCTGGCTGAGGAAGGGGACGCTGGTCTACCGATGTAAATCAAAAGCTCTGAAGCTGACTTTCTTGTTGGTTAGTCAATCAACAATGAAAAGCAAAAATAAAACGCCCACAAAAAGACGCAAAACAAAGATACGAACATTTTCTAGAAGAAGATACAAAACGACCACAGTAACATGCGCAAAGTCGCAAAATGACTACAAGTAACGCTAAATAACTTCAAAAATGTGTCAAACGACTGCAAAGTCATCCCAAATGGCTAAAAACAGATGCAAAATTGATAACAAAGTGGCACAAAATGATAGCAGAGAGATGTAAATCAACAAAAGAGATGCAAAATGACCAGACCAAACACACAACTGACCACAAAGACAAACAAAACGACCACATCTTTTTCATTCTGGGGGATTTGATGTCCACTGGGCCCCTTTGTCTTACAAATGTCAACTCTAAATCTGGGCTCCAGTCACAAACTTGAGTATAGCCCCCCCTCTCCATTTGTCACCACTGGCCTAGGTATTGCAACCTACTGTAAATGTTTACTCTTTCCAGTTGTACACTTTTTCTTTATTACATACTTTGTAGGTTTCTGTTTTGATTTGTGGTGAACTCTTATTCCTCTACTCCATGTCCTCTTTATAAAAAATGTATCTTAAAGCATATAAAAAAAGAAAAGAAAAAAGATCCAAAAGTCTGATTAATAGTGTAAGATGATTTGTACTGTTTTCATACTGCAGATATGTCAGATTTGTAAGTGGGCTTTTCATGCATTAGATGAACACATTTGTCAAATTTACAAAATCATACGGTATGTTTTTTTTTTTGCTGTGGAGACTGAGCAGAAATCATATTTAAATTACAAAAAATAAGAAAAATACTAAACTAAGTGCTTTATTAGTCAAATTCTAATACATGTCAAAGTTCTAAAACAGAAAATACAGTTCTGACGCTAATTAAAGCACATAGAGTTTTTTTTGGAGTAAAGTTTTAGACCTTCATTTACAAAAGAAATCAGTTTCTCTGAAACTTACCTGAAGTGATGTTTACGGGTTGAAAAACTGATTCTACACAAAACTTCTTTCCACCTTTCATCTGGATTATTTATCATCTTAGTGAAAGGTCTGAGAGAGCCATCTACTGCTCTACATGGATTCAGATTTACACTTTATATACTGCTGAGAGCATATACTGTAAAGATTAATCAGCAAACATGTCTGTGCAGATTCTCAGTCATCCAGGTCATAGTAAACTGAAAAAAACATCAACTGGACTTAGATAGCAAATAATCAGCAAAAAAGTGAAATTGGTGGTGTGACTGTATGTGCTGTGAATAAAACCCTAAAATGTCAAATGTTTTTGTAGCATAGTGAGGTGAAACTATACAATTATCTTATACAATACTTTATACATTTACTTTATCTTTGTTTACTTAAACTCATTTGTCCAACTTTGCACAAGGCAGCATTTTAAATGTCATGGCATATTCAAACATTTTGCTGTTTAATTTAATATCATGCTACACTATTCAGTTGCTTCAACAGGCCTTGAAATTAATGTCAACTAGCAGTCTGTGCTGAGAGAGTCATCTCCATCAGCTTCTCAGGCAGAAAACAGTTTTCATCCAAGCTCACATGAATATGACAAGAATACCAAAGCTTGAAATCAACACACTTGCTGGTTGACAAAAGATCACCTTGCTAATATACATTTTATTTTACAGGTCTGTAACTACCAGTTTATTTCCGAATAATTTTAAATAACTTTCCTGGAATAAACCATGTCATTTGGTACAAATTATGCTAAAATAGTTTGTAAATGCAAAGCTAACACAAACTGGAGGCTTTTATTCAGACAAAAGAAATTGAGCTACACAGACAACTACACAATTCAGCATAAATTAACTACATTTTCAATGACAAAATAAATAAATGAACTGCACATATTACCTGGGGTTTTATGTGAGCAATAAAACTAAAAGCAATAATCAACTTAACACAAGTCAGTGGACTAACAAAAAAAAAACATCTTAGAACTTTGTTTTTCTGTAATTGGTACCAAATCACGTGGCTCTTTCCAGGAAACTTTTAACACTTAACCTTTAACATTATTAGGAAATAGCGAACCTGTAAAATAAAGTGTTACCAAAAAAATCATAGTGAACAAACAGTGGGACAATTGTCTTTTCAGCTGGAATGTGACAGTAAAGTTATGAAATGGGTCTTTAAGAATATGCAACTGTACAAATAATGACTTATTAACTGAAGACAGCCTTTATCTGAAATACAGTGGAGTGTTTCCAACCTGAAGGTGCAATCCTTGAATTTAGAACTTGACTAATGATTATTTTCATCAATGAAAAATCTGGCAATGTTTACTCAAACAATATAACATTGGAAAACTCTGAAAATTAGAAATACTTAAATGGCTTGTATGCCCAACCGACATCCCAAAGTGTTCATCTTAAAATCGTAGATTATCACAAAAACCAGCAAATACTAATGTTAGCTAATAGAACCGGCAACATTTGGCAATTTTTCCTTAAAGGTTACTGAAGTGATTCATTTATTATCATAACTGTTGCAGAATACTTTCCTGTTTATTGACTATTTGATCAGTGATTACTGAGTAACTGCACTGCACACTTTGGACCGACTGTTACTGACTAATACTATTATTGAACTGTTTTCTGTACACTTCATGTGATGAGTAAATGCCATGGTAATATCCAACGGGTATGCTAATGATACTTGATGAAAAGATGACAAACAGAAACATTTACTTTGTTAGTATTCGTAATAGTTCGTATACACAATGTATAGGAGCACCATTTAAAAAAACATCCTTTTTTTCCAAACAGTTTTTTTTTTCAACATTTTTAAAAAAGCCACAGAATTTTTTTCTTCTACAGAAAGCAAAGAAAGCTCTGTACATGAACAGGCAACAACAGAATTCCTCATCATGAGCTGCAAAGAAAGAACTCAGCTGCTCAAATTCATATCATCTCTGAACCAAAAAAACAAAAACAAAAGCATAAAAACAAGATCAGCTGCCTGCTGCTTACCTAGGACACTACGTTTACACAAACAGCTTTTGATATTTAAAACACAAGATATTTAAGAAATGTACTTTTCAAAAATTGTGAAAAAGTGCAATACAGGTTCAACTGTTTACAACTGAATAGATTATTTCCCAAATGGAGTCCGGCCCTTTTTCTCTCCCTTCGTTTTCAGTCTTTTTTTTTTTTTTTTTACCCCAAAACTTGTTCCTTGTTTGTATCCATAGTTAAAATCTCTTAGTTATATTGACATTCATGACAATGTACATTTATGAGAAACATAGTATTCACAAAAGTAGAGCAAATTACTATGATTGCAAATGACTAATTTCTTTGGGTAAGAGGGTAATGAAAAACTAGGTTCTTAGATGAAGGTTTTTTCCCATTTTTACATAGGATATGTGTATAGAACAAGCTTCTTTTTTCATCATACAAAAACTACCATGTAAAAAAAATCTGGGAGTCCCATTCAAAAGGCCAACATCTTTGCATTTTATAAGATTTTCAAAAGAACCGGGGTGTGGCATTCAATGAGGACCAGCAGAAAAAAAAAAAAAACAGCAAACACACCCTGCTGGG